TAATAAATGACAAACTTACTTTTATGTATAAAAAAACCATGACATTTTGTAAACAAAATCCTAGCATCATTTTCACAAGAGCAGACAAGGGAAACACGACCGTAGCGATGACCAAAGAATTTTATATAGACAAAGTTGAAGAATTATTAAATGACAAAAATAATTATATGACAATCAAAAACAATCCAATAATAAAAATAGAAAAAGACCTTAATAAAAATTTAAAACAATGGTTAAAAAATGAATGGATCACAAAAAAAGACTATTATGGTCTAAGTTCCAGTGATTCAGTGCTTCCTAAAGCATATGGCTTGCCCAAAATTCACAAGGAAAATGTTCCATTCAGAGTAATAGTATCGTCGGTCAATACAGCACTACATCATTTAGCGGCATATTTACACAACATTTTAGTAACAAGTTTACCCAAAGGGAAAAGTCATGTTAATAATAGTTTTGAATTGTGCAACGCATTGTCTGATCTTAAATTAAATAATAATGAAACAATCGTATCTTTGGATGTGATATCGTTGTTCACAAATGTTCCTTTGGACCTTGCAATAGACAGCATAAATAATAGATGGCATTACATTGAAAACCACACATCAATAGACAAAAATGAGTTTGTTAATGTAATTAAATTCATTTTGACTTCAACGTACTTCACATTCAACGAAACGATCTATAAACAAATACATGGAACTCCTATGGGATCGCCTTTATCTCCAATTATTGCGGATATTGTCATGCAAGATGTAGAAACTAGGATTCTTGAAACTATAAATGTAAATATGAAGTTTTACTATCGCTACGTCGATGATATCTTGGTTTGCTTGCCGGAAGATCAAGTCACATATCTAGTAGAAAAATTTAATGATTGTCACGATAGATTAAAATTCACAATAGAAAGAGAGGATAACCGTAGCATAAGTTTTTTAGATATCTCACTCAAAATTATAAATAACATAATATATATAGATTGGTTTCAGAAAAAAACATTTTCGGGTAGAACACTCTCATATCATTCAAATCATCCTATATACCACAAAAAAAGTGTAATATATAATTTAGTAGACCGGTCAATATTATTATCACATCCCCGTTTTCATAGTAAAAATTTAACATTAATCATAGAGATTTTATTGAGCAATAGTTATCCCCTTGATCTCATTTTCTCAGAAATCAATAATAGACTGAAGTTCCTTATTGTTAATAGATTAAACAAAGAAATGACTCAAGATATAAATAACGAAATCATAAATAACAACAGAAATAAAAAATTCATAGCGATACCATATATTGAAAGAATCTCGGAACTAGTAGCATCAGAATTAAAGAAATCAAATATAACAGTAGGATACAGATGTCTAAAGAAATTAAACAGAGTCATAAAAACGCAAAAAGACAGGGATAAGCTCCAAAATAATTCGGGGGTCATATATAAGATATCGTGTAATAATTGTGATGCTACATATGTAGGACAGACGAAAAGACAATTAGGTACAAGAGTAAATGAACATAAAAATAATATTAGATTAGATTCTGCAAGGCACTCGGTGGTTTCTGATCATATTGTAAAATTTACACACAATTTCAATTGGAACGACACAAAAATCCTAGATTATGAAAAGAATTATTATAAAAGGTTGATATCAGAAATGATATATATTAAAGAAGAAAACAACAGTATCAACCTAAAAAAGGACACCAAGCGTCTTGACGGTTCCTATTTTGATATTCTAAAAAAATTGTCTACCTCATCTTAAAAATTGGGTATATATACAGCGCGCCGACATTGTGAGATACAGATATCGATTTGTTTTTTAAAAAGTACACATTGTAATTATGTTATGTAAAAAGAAATAATTTTTTAAAAAAAGTGTTATGTTCGTGACAAAAAAGTAAGTTAATACTATTTATTAAAAATCTAAAATGTAATATTTGAGCGGATATATTAATTTGTTCACAGTGTCGTTACATAATATAACAGCATGACATACATAAATCTGACGCTCTAACTCAAGCCAACAAACATGAATTTTGTACTGCGTTTGTCATATGATAATCTCATAAATGTTGTATTTATAAGAAGGTCGATATGACTAAATTAATTTTTTGACATATTAGCAATGATATTGAAAAAGACTGTCGTACAGTCGAAACGTTTATCTTATCTTTTGTATATTATGACGTAAATTAATAAAAAAATTTTTTAATTAATATCATATAAGCTCGTTAAGTTGGCCTTTTATTATATCACATATTTTTGTAATTGTTTATTACTCAAACAACATCTCATTTTTGTTATGAGTATAGCTGTTTTTTATCTCCTCTCGCGCGACCGCGGTGTTTACAATTTAATATGAGATAACGCAAGCGCTTATTTTTTGAAGGCGCGGGGTAACCGTATACCAATACGGCCGAGCGCTATTTGAGTATAATATAGATTTCTATCTATAGTAGCATGATGCATGCGACATGAAGTGATGCATGCATTTTGCATGAATTGTCTAACGATTTTAATTTGTAGATTTTGAACGTTCGATTTTCGAACAAATAATTTTATTTCTTTTTAGCAATAAAAGTTAGAATGCGAACTCGAATAAATGGGTGCATTCGTTTATGCAGTGATTAGCGCATCCACTGCGCATCCACTGCGTCTATTATCTGCGAGTCACGTGACATCATTTACCGAACGATCACCTGCGTGAATTGACTGCTCAGATTGTAATTGGAGTGCGTAAGTAAATAAATTTTAAATAAATATGAATTAACTTAGAAATAAATATTTTTTATCGGCTCTCAATATAAACAATATAAATATGATGGTTTCTAAATCGGCCTAAGACCCATAGCACGAAAAATTACAAAAATTAATTATTCGGAACTGTATCTCTTGGTACGAGATTACTAAAGTTCCATATATTAATTAACCTCGAACTTACATATGGAGAAATAGGCGCGAAAAATATAGGTCCAAAAAGTCGCTGAAGCGGGAATCGAACCCGCGTCTTTCACTTTCCGGGCGACTGCTCTTACCACTAATAGCTATTTAGACTTTTCGGACCTATATTTTTCGCGCCTATTTCTCCATATGTAAGTTCGAGGTTAATTAATATGAAACTTTAGTAATCTCGTACCAAGATATACAGTTCCGAATAATTAATTTTCGTAATTTTTCGTGCTATATGGCTTTTAGGTCAATTTAGAAACCATCATATTTATATTGTTTATATTGAGAGCCGATAAAAAATATTTATTTCTGAGTTTATTCACGCCTGGCCTAATCACGGCGTTATTTACTAACATCTACTAAAAAGGCAAATGAAAAATATAGGATCGAAAGAGTCTGAATAGCTTAGTGGTAAGAGTAGTCGCCCGGAAAGTGAAAGACGCGGGTTCGATTCCCGCTTCAGCGACTTTTCGGACCTATATTTTTGCGCCTATTTCTCCATATGTAAGTTCAAGGTTAATTAATATATGGAACTTTAGTAATCTCGTACCAAGAGATACAGTTCCGAATAATTAATTTTCGTAATTTTTCGTGCTATGGCTCTTAGGCCGATTTAGAAACCATCATATTTATATTAAATATGAATTATTATTTGAATAAATATAATAAAATTTTTAAATAGGTTGAAGGTTCTGACATATGACGTGTGCACATAACATTTTTAGACAGTGATGACGGTAGGATTGAAATGTTGCTGAATGTAGACTTCTCAGATTTTTCCAAACTTACTGGGGACGAAGTAGCTTGATAGCTAGGAATGACTGTAACAGAATTGCATCTTTATACAAAGCACATTTTTTTTAAACAGATTACTTTAAATTTATATTCTTGATAAAAGTGCATTTTTAAGTTAATTGGATCGTAAATATAAATTAACAGACTTCATAATTTTATTGTATTACTTACCTTGCATTACTTTTAGTTTTGTAGGATCTATTTGGAGAAGTTATTCTCCACCTTCTTTGTTCTGAACTTTTATAACATAACTCATAATTGAAATAATTTTCAGGCAACGTTTCCAAGTTCAATTGGCTTAACAATGGAGAAGACTACATTCGTTTACGCAGTAGTCCGCAGTACTGCGAGCAAAGCATCCTAAGCAGGACCTCCGAGATGGCTGCGCAGATAGGTAGCAGCTCTGCTTAAACGAACAACAAACTGCGCTGCAGTCGGTTGCGCAGGTGGAGTAAACGAACGACATTTGCGGCATTCTGCGGCAGTCACTGCATAAACGAATGCACCCAATGTGTTTCCTATTAGGGAACTTCTTTTTATTACTTGAGGTATCAAAAATATCCAATAAAGCGATGTCGAGCAAGCGATTAGCCGAACTTGTACACGCGTGTTTCTTTTGTTTTTTTTGTGTTAGACTTCATTTGTTACCCGAGGTGTCTATAATACCCGATGCTGTATATATATATATATATATATATATATATATATAACATATATATATATATGTATATATATATATATGTAGAAGGTCGACACGACCGTTGATCACGGTCACGGCATGTGTGTGTCATGTGATTTTCGGCTGCCGACGGCGTGCGATCCGCGCCCGGCAGCAGGAGCGATGCGTGATTTTAGTCAGTCGAGATCCGCACCTGACTTCGTCAATATCGAGAAATAATATGTGTACGCGGCATGAGTGAGCCGATCGACGAATACTTTGTGTATCTTAATACTGTTACGAAATATATTTTGTGATTCTCTCTTCTGGAACTCTCCGATCTGTTTCATTTTTATGCTACATATTAATTGTATAACATCCTACAATTTTTGGGGCTCAGCCGGGATAGCAGTGAGACATTTGGAGACGTAGCCGGAAGATACATTAGAGAGAGAATTTGACGACGGAGTCAGGTAGTGCGAGGAGTTTGAGAGCGAAACGCGCGTGTCAGGGTGCGAGGGACGGTGCGTGCTGCGACGTGGACGGCGGTTCTAGAGATGGTTCTTGTTGAGTGGAGTGCGGTGTAGAGTCGCCGTAATGAGAGATCCGGACAGATTCACCGTCGTTGCGTTGAAAGAGTTGTTGGCGGCACGCGGACTGTCCACTGCGGGCACCAAAGCGGAGTTGATCGCGCGGTTAATGGAGGACGATCCGTCGGGGGCGTGGATGGACGGACAGGACGAGTGTGGTGACGGCGGTGAGGATTCGCAGCAGCGAGAGGTGGCCGGTGCAGCGAGTGCACAATCGGCATCGAGTCGACAGCAGCGAGAGGCAGCTGGTGCGGCGAGTGCACAACCAGCATCGAGTCGGCAGCAACGAGAGGTCGAGCTGCATAAGAGGGAGAGAGAGTTGGCGGAACGAGAGTTGGCGGAACGAGAGTTGGCGGAACGAGAGTTGGCGGTAGCGCGTTTGGAGCTGGAGGTAATGCGCAAAAAGATGCAAGCCGAGCAGACTATAGGGGGCGAGCGACGGCAATCGACGCGTGTGGCTGCGGCGATCGAGCGGGAGCAGGTGCGGGCAATGGCGACGGGGAGCAGCGGCGGTAGCGACGATATTCCGGCCCCGTTGGTTCAAACGCGAACGAACATAACGGCGATTGCGGATCTGCTGAGTGTTTTCGATGGTAAATCCAGCCATTATGAGACGTGGGAGAAGCAGATAAAGCAGCTTAGGTCGACGTACCGATTGGAGGACGTTGCGAAAATTCTCATCGGCATGCGACTAAAGGGAAGAGCGCACGAGTGGTTGCATTCCAGGGCGGAACACATCACGATGACATTCGACCATCTTCTGGATGAGTTAAGAGCTATGTTCTTTAGGCGGCAGAGCAAAGTGACAACGCGGAAAAAATTTGAGGAGCGAGTGTGGAGGAAGGGCGAAACGTTCCAGGAATATTTCCATGAAAAGATTATCTTGGGCAACCATGTGTCAATTGAGGAGGATGAAATGCTAGAGTACCTGATCGAGGGGATTCCAGACGAGAGACTAAAAGATCAAGCACGCATCCAGCGATTTGCAGCGGCGGATGGACTATTGGAGGCATTCGAGAGGGTGACCCTCCGAGACCGAGGTATATCCAACGCATCAAGGTCAACGAGAACAGAGAAGCGAGTCAGCGACCAGGGAAGAAGTGAGCGAAGAGAAACCGCAAACGGTAGCGAGAATAGGAGGTTCGCGGGTAAAATCGCGTATTGTTTTAATTGTGGCGAACGTGATCATTTAGGCATAAATTGTCCGACTAAAGAACAAGGCGCTAAGTGCTTTCAATGCGGAAAGCGGAGGCATATCGCGTCGAGGTGCGTTAAGAGGACAAAAGCGGGTAAAGAGAGCTGCGCGATATCGGGAGCTTCGTATCGTAAATATCTTAAGAATGTTTTTTTTAACGATCGTGAGATATAGGCATTGATCGATTCGGGAAGCGACTTTAGTTTGATCCACGCGGACGATTACATCAAGCTCGGTTCTCCGTGTTTGCGATGTAGCAGGCTGTTATTCGATGGCGTAGGTTCAAATAATAACACAACATTGGGAAAATTCCAAGCCAAGCTCAGAGTTGAAGGACATTCATATTCGGTTTGTATACATGTCGTGTCAGATACGATGCTTCGACACAAATTATTACTGGGAACGGATTTCTTAAATTTGACCGATGTTAATATCAGGGGCGGCGATATGACTATCCGTCCGTTGGCACAGATAACGCGCAAAGAGTCTGGGGCGGTGAGCGATGTGGCGGGATGTGAGAGTACGCGCGACGTGGTGAGGCGCGCGAGCGTCGAGTCGGAGGTGGCGAGCGATGTGGCAGGATGCGAGAATATGCCAGAGATACTTAAGATAGATGTAATTCGCGACGAAACGTGCAAAGCGAGTCACGTAAATGTTTCGCATGTCGAGGACTCTCAGCGGAGAAAAGCGATAGAAAAATTAATAAATAATTACAAGTCAGACAGAACCGGTGAGGCTGAGGTAACAATGAAACTCGTGCTTAGGGATGAGGAGCCGGTGCATCAGTCGGCAAAGCGCTTATCGGCGTTCGAGAGAACAGTAGTTAACGCGCAAATCGATCGGTGAATTACGGATAGAATCGTGCGACCATCTGTTTCTGATTATGCGAGTCCGGTAGTTTTAGTTTAAAAGAAAGACGATACGTTTAGACTGTGCGTAGATTATCGGCTAATAAATAAGATCATTAAAGACAGATATCCGCTGCCATTGATCGAGGACCAGCTGGATATGTTGAAGGGCGCGCGTGTTTTTAGTACGCTCGATCTGACGAACGGTTTCTTCCATGTACGGGTGAACGAATCGAGTCGGAAGTATACGGCATTTATTGTGCCCAATGGCCATTACGAATTTTTACGAGTTCCTTTTGGTCTCTGTAATTCGCCGGCGGTGTTCCAGAGATATGTGAATACAGTATTTAGAGATCTCATACGGGAAAGGATAGTTTTGGCATATATGGACGACTTGATTATACCATCCAGCGATGTCGAGAGTGGCATTAGAAATCTGGAAAGAGTGTTGGTAACGGCAAGCGAGACAGGTCTGATGATCAATTGCAGTAAGTGTTGCTTTTTGGAGACCACCGTTGAGTTTTTGGGTCACGTGATTTGTAACGGATGCGTTCGTTTGTCGGATCGTAAGACTGAGGCGGTGCGACGTTTTCCATGTCCTGCGAGCGCAAAACAAGTGCAAAGTTTTCTTGGTTTGAGCGGGTATTTCCGTAAATTTATCGAATGTTGAATTTCATTTCGGAGCGGCTGAGAGAGACGCGTTTATGCGGCTTAAAATTATGTTAAGTAAAAAACCGATTCTGAGTCTGTATTGGGTCGAGGCGGAGACAGAATTACATACAGATGCCTCGGCGTTGGGGTATGGTGCGATTTTGCTCCAACGAAATAACAACGATCAGCGCTTCCATCCTGCGTATTATTCTAGCGGGAAGACGACGCCTGCAGAGGCGAAATACAGTAGTTACGAGTTAGAGGTGTTAGCGATAATAAAGGCATTAAAAAGGTTTCGCGTCTATTTGCTCGGTATCGCATTTACGATTGTTCGAGAGAGTGTATTATATTCTTACTAAATATTATTTGAATTATTTCTCGACTTTTCGAAGTTTCCATAAGCTTCTATATTTTGAAAGGAAAGACTTATTTTCGTCAGTTTTTCTGACAATACGTCATTCGTCAAATACGAGATATTGTGACAAACATCTTCTTCTCGCTTTCCGATTGGTTCGATTCATTTTGACTTTGTGTCGCGTATAGTGAGAAATTAACGATCGCGAGGCACTTAGAGGTCAGCTTTCGTCGGGAGCATTACGTACTCGTTGCTACATATTCTGTACACATATATAGTCAACTCTTTAAGTCAGACGGTCCGCGAATTCGGAAAAAGTTTATAAAATAAAGAAGAATTCATAATTGAAAGTTAATCCTGCTATAATAAGTTGTCTCTCCTTACTTTCCTTCTCGGCGAACAAAAAAAACTTTAAGGTGATGTGACCGCAAAGGATCGGAGCTACGTTCACGTTCCACATTGGTCCTTCGAGCCGGATATAAGGAAAAGGAGGCAACTATTCTCTCGCGTGCAACAACTTGACGAGTGAGAGAGACTACATGTGCGTAAAGTGTATAACGGGTGTAATTATACATTCCACAGTTGTACAGGGCCGACATTGCAGTACAATACGCAGTGACTTAAAACAGTGAAAGTGAAAATCATAATTAGGCTCATTACACCATCTCAACTCAAGGGTACTTTATCTCCCGACCAAACTATTATATCGTCAATTTATAACGCACCTACGCGTATTAATCAAGCAACTGATATAATTCTATGTTTGCTTTCTGTGTAACCCGCAGTCCAGTGATTACGAGAGTTCAAAGTTACTCACAGATTAAGCACGGCCTCGACGTGCTCAACCACTCGACGGCGGCCGACGGCAGCCGACTCTCACCTTGCACGTTAATTACGCCAAGCGTCCGTGCTTCTTAAAGGACTAATATAGTCCGTTTTATTGGCGAACATGGCTGAGAACCTACAGGACTTACTCATCGACTTAAACCAGACGATTGCCTCGATGAGACGAGTACTTCCTAACTTCAAAAAAATTGGCAAAGCGAACGTAACGCTGAGTGTCGCCAAGAAACGACGGAATGATCTTGACTCACTGTGGGAGAGATGTCAACGACTGAACGTTCGAGCACATCAAGTCGCGACCTGAGAAGCAGCGTACCGTCGGATACTTCGTCGAGCACCAATTCTTCTCGGCCGAAGATTCATACAACGATGCTGCAGATCACATCGCGAACGCTATCGGTAACCTTTTTCACGGCGATACAATCACGTCTAAAACGGTAAGCGATGTTTCTTTGAGAGATTTACCCGGTGCAGTTAACTTGCAACTACCGCGTATCTCTCTACCTAAATGTTCTGGCGACTATGCCGAATGGGAAAATTTTCGTGGCTTGTTTGAATCGCTCGTCGCCTCCAAAGACTCACTTACCAATACGCAAAAGTTACACTACTTAAAGGCTAGCGTTACTGGTGAAGCCGCACTATTAATTAATCATATCAAAATTACGGACACTAATTACGATGCGGCGTGGGCATTGCTTTTGGAAGAATATAATAATCAACGTGCTCTTATTTACGCACATATTAACAACTTTGTCGACTTACCGATTATGAAAACAGAATCCGCGGCGGAACTAAAAGTTTTACGCGATACCGCGGCCGCATCGTTAGCCGCACTAAAAAATTTAGATAGACCCGTTGAAAAATGGGATGACTTAATTGTTTACATAATATCTCAAAAATTTAGCCCACGCACTCGTAATGAGTGGAACCTCTACGTGGTAAATCGCCGGCTTATCCGACTTATAAAGAAATTTGTGAATTTATGACGATGCGTATTCGAGGTCTCACCGACCACTCTAAAGCAAAATCAGACGTATCCATTACAAAATGTAAAAGCTCACGAGCCTCTGTAAATAATCTGACAGTCGATAAATGTCTAGATTGTTCCGGCAATCATCGCTTGATGCTTTGCGACAATTTCAAACGCAAATCCATTGATCAGAAAATTAATCTTCTTAAATCGCATAAATGCTGTTTTAATTGTCTAAAAATCGGTCATTTTCCCGCTAACTGTCCAAGCAAAAAGCGATGTAATTTGTGCTGAAAAGCGCATCACACTATTTTACACCGCGTTTCTAATAATCCTGCACTGAATACGGTAGATAATTCCTCGATTCAATCAGAAAATAAGACAACGTCAATGCACGCCCAACTGGGCAACTCAGGCGCTCCTGAGCTTAAGAACGAAAATTCTTTCGTCTCCGTGCAGACGATAAATACTTTGATTAAAAAACCTCCAAGCGTATTACTGGCGACAGCATGGGTCATCCTGCGTACAAACGAAGGTCGTAATTGTAAAGTGCGCGCGCTACTCGATCAAGGTTCCGCTGTTAGTTTCATATCGGAATCGCTGTCAAACGATGCGTACGAAACGTTATCGCGCGAACCTCCAAGTACATTGTTTTGGCGAGCGATACAGTGGCGTAGCGAAATCACGCGTGGCTCTTACGTTAGAGTCTTGCGACGGGCAGAACATATTTCCTTTAACGATATTTGTATATCAAAAAATTACTTCTTACGCCGGTTCTAGAATTAAATCCGTAGAATCTTGGCCTCATTTACGTAACTTAACGCTCGCAGATCCCGACCCATTCAGCAGCCATCCAATACATCTACTCATCGGTGCAGACTTATACGGCTCATTACTTTTACGCGAGATAAAACAGGAACCGATCGGTTCTCCGACGGCCCAACTCACCGCATTAGGATGGATTTTTTCCGGTCCTACTGGAGCTACTGACTCCATTGTCAGCTCCGTTCACTCAGTAAGTTGCGAATTTGATCCACCAATCAATTGCCTTCTTCAAAAGTTTTGGGAAATTGAAGAGGTTCCGTCAGAACCACAATTGTCGGAAGAAGACAAACAATGCGAGCAACAGTTCATTGATACTCATCGGTGCGCCGCGGACAGTCGCTATATTGTTCGACTATCATTTCGAAACGGACTCTTATCGATATCGGAACGTCGAGAGAAATCGCCTCATTTCTCTACTCTAAATTAGAGAGACGGTTACATAAAAATTCAGATCTCGCGAAACAATACGATAACTTTTTGAATAAATACGAAAAGATGGGTCATATAGAGCCGATTCGCGAAGATACGAAAACAGTATTCCCCCGGTATATATTCCACATCACCCAGTTATAAAAGAATCTAGTAGCACGACCAAGCTTCGCGTAGTTTTCAACGCGTCGTGCAAAACGAGTAACGGAACCACACTCAATGACCATCTAATGACAGGGCCCAAACTACAACGCGACTTATCTGCTATATTACTTCGGTGGCGATAATTCCGTTATGTATACACCGCGGATATCGAAAAAATGTTCAGGCAAATACGAATTCATCCGGATGATGTAGATTTCCTACGTATTTGCTGGCGACCGCGTTGTGAGCACCCGATTCAATCTTATCGTTTATTAACCGCAACATACGGCACTGCTCCAGCTCCATACTTAGCTATGAGAGTATTATTGCAATTAGCTCATGACGAGGGCGTCGATCTTCCAAAGGCGCGAGATATTTTACAAAATTCCACCTATGTCGACGACGTACTGTTCGGAAATAATGACATTAGCTCACTTCGAGAAAGTCGCGATCAATTCACGAAAATAATGATGCGTGAAATAATGATGCGCTTTCATTTGCGAAAATGGGCGGCTAACTCGACGGAATTATTACAAGACATTCCGTCCGGCAAACACGAGTTAGCTCACGAACACCCGTTTGATAAAGACGATTCGCTTAAAATTCTCGGCCTTACGTGGATACCACACGAAGACGCATTTCGTTTTCAAATCACAACTTCAAACTCACGCATAAATACAAAACGAGCTATGTTATTTTGTCATTTGTGGTGCAATTTTTCGACCCGCTCGGATGGGCAACGCCCGTGATAATTGTTTCTAAAATTATGATGCAAGAACTCTGGTTGAGAAAATATGATTGGGATACTCCTATAACGAACGAATTTTTAGAACCTTGGAAAACTTATTGCACGGAATTCTCAAGATTACGTGAAATTCGGATACCGCGATGGACGGGAATGCACCCGGAAAATTTAGCCATCGAGCTGCACGGATTCGCCGACGCATCCAATCGCGCATACGCCGCGGTCGTTTACCTAAGAATCCTTCGCTCGCTCTCAGAGTTTTTGGTAGTTTTGTTAACCGCTAAATCAAAGGTAGCACCTATAAAGACTGTGAGCGTGCCACGCTTAGAGCTAAATGCCATAATACTACTAACTCGATTAATCAAATTCGTGCAAAATACACTAAACTTGTCACAAATCTCTACGTATGGATGGACAGATTCTTCGGTCGCTCTCGTGTGGTTAAGGGGACACCCCTCTAAATGGAAAACATACGTCGCTAATTGCGTATCGGAGATACAAACGCGTCTGCCTTTAGTCAAATGGAATCACGTTCCTTCAAAGGATAATTCAGCGGATTGCGCGTCCCGCGGTTTAACGTCATCGGAGCTTCTCGAATTTAAACTTTGGTGAAACGGCCCCGAGTGGTTACATTCGCCGTCACCGGCGTGGCCAATTCATGAAAGACTTAAAGAACGGTCCGAATCTAAACGTGATCTTGTCAATTTA